CAGCATGGCTTGCCAAGCAGTGCGTCTGTGTGCGCCCCCAGGATCCGAACCGGTGAACCCCGGGCCGCCGCAGCAGAGCGCGCACACTTAACCGCTTGCACCATTTGGCTGGCCCCTCAAAATCCTTTCTAATTTTTCCTTTGCCTATTGGTTATGTAGATATATGTTCTTTAGTTCTCAAATATTTGGGGGATTTTCCAGACACCTTTCTGTTATTAATTTATAATTTAATTCCCTATGGTCAGAGAATATATACTTCGTATGATTTGAGTCCTTTTAAGTCTGTTGAGACTTTCTCTGTGGCCCAGAATATGGTCTATCTTACGTCAAATTGGTTGGTAGTGTTGCTTTAGTCATCTGTATCAATACTGATTATCTGTCTACTTCTTCGTTCAGTGATGGAGAGAGGGGTATTGAAATGTCTTAGTATAATTTCGGATTTGTCTATTTCTTCTTGCAGTTTTATCAGTTTTCATTCACATGTTTTTTGTTTGTTTGTTTTTTTGATGAGGAAGATTAGTCCTGAGCTAACATCTGTTGCCAATCCTCCTCTTTTTGCTGGGGAAGGTTGGCCCTGGGCTAACAGCTTCCTCTACTTTATATGTGGGATGCCTGCCACAGCATGGCTTGATAAGCCGTGTATAGGTCCACACGCAGGATCTGAACCCACAAACCGCAGGCCCCTGAAGTGGAGTGCACAAACTTAACCACTAAGCCACCTGGCTGGCCCCCGCAATCACATGTTTTGAAACTCCACTATTAGGTATATAATATGTAAGACTGTTCTATCCTCTTAATGAATTGACCCCTTTGACATGATGAAATGTTTATCTCTGTTACTATTCTTTGCTCTGAAATCTCTGTCAGATATTAATGTAGACACTCCAGCTTTTTTTCATTAGTGTTGGCATGGTATATCTTCTTCTCTCATTTTATTTTTAACCTATTTGTGTCTTTATATTTAATGTGGATATTTTTATAGGCAGCATATAATCAAGTCTTGCTGTTTTAAAATCCACTCTGACTATGTCTGCCTTTTAATTGGTTGTTCAGACCATTTAAATTTGTAATGATTATTAACAGCTATCATAGTCTATCTCCAAATGATATTATACCATGTCATGTAGTATATAAGAACCTTCTAGTAGGAGTATTCAACTCCTGGCCTTTATGCTATTGTTGTCATACATTTTACTTATACAGATGTTACAGACCTCACAATACATTGTTATTGTTTCAACAGTCAGTTATCTTTTAAAGATATTTAAATAATAAGAAAAATGTAGTTACCATTTCTGGTGCTCTTGGTTCCTTTGTGTGGATCCACATTTTGTTCTGGTGTCATTTTCCTTCTGCCTTGAAAGACTTCCTTTAACACTTCTTATAGGGCAGATATGCTGTTGATGAATTCTTTTGGCTTTTGCATGTCTGAAAAAGTCTTTGTTTCACCTTTGTTTTGTTTTGTTTTGTTTCGTTTATAATTTTATTTATTTATTTTTCCCCCAAAGCCCCAGTAGATAGTTGTATGCCATAGCTGCACATCCTGCCAGTCGCTGTATGTGGGACGCGGCCTCAGCATGGCCGGAGAAGCTGCAGGTCAGTGCGCCCGGGATCCAAACCCGGGCCGCCAGCAGCGGAGCGTGCGCACTTAACCGCTAAGCCACAGGGCCGGCCCTCACCTTTGTTTTGAAAGATATTTTTGATGAGTATAGAATTTTAAGTTGACAGGTTTTTTTTCCACTACTTTAAAGTTTTTGCCCCATTACATTGTTTCCAACAAGAAATCTGATGTCATCCTTATTTTTGTTTTGTTCTATCTAATGTTTTTTTTTCCTCTGGCAGCTTTAAGATTTTTGCCTTTATCGCTGTTTGAATAGTTTTATTATAGTGTGCCTACACTTCATTTTCTTTGTGTCTCTTGTGCTTAGAGTTCAGTGAACTTCTTGGGTCTGTGTGTTTTAGTTTTCATCAAGTTTGGAAAAATTTTGGCCACTATTTCTTTAAATATTTTTTTGTCCCCTTCTCTCTCCCCCAATTACATGTATGTTAAATTTCTTAAAATTGTCACACAGCTCACTGAAACTCTGTTAAGTTCTTAAAATTCTTTTTCTCTTCGTATTTCATTTTGTATAGTTTCTTTTGCAGTTTAAGATTCAGTAATCTTTTCTTCTGAAATGTCTAATCTGACCTTAATCCCATCCTGTGTATTTTTCATCTCAGATGTAGTTTTTGTCTCTACATGTTTGACTTTATGTCTTTCATATCTTCCATTCTCTGCTTTTACATCTGGTGTATAGTCATCATAACTTTTAAAGTCCTTTTCTGCTAATTCTGACTTTTGTGTCAAGTCTGGATTGGTTTCTTAATCTATTTTTCTCCTTATTTCCACTCTCTTTGCGTCTGCTTGTTTGTATGCCTGCTAATTTTTTATTGGATGCCAGACTTGTAAATTTTTACCTTCTTGGGTGCTGGCTATTTTTATGTTCCATAAATTTCTTCAGCTTTCTTCTGGGACCATAGTGAAATTAGTTGGAAATAGTTTTTTGGTCCTTTTGGGTCTTGTTTTTAAGATTTGTTAGGCAGGGCCAGAGCAGTATTTAGTCTAGGGCTAATTATTCCCCATTACTAAGGCAGGACCCCCTCTGAGTACTCCAGCCAGTGTCCCCTGAATTATGAGGTCTTCCAGTCTGGCTGGTGGGACACAAGCATCATCCCTAACTAGCCACGCTGAGCCTCAGGGCCTCTCCTCTCCTTCAGGGTGACCCTTTCCTGTGCCTTGAGGTGGTTCCTCACACGCATGCCCTAAATAACTCTGCTGAATGCTTGAGGGCAATCCTTTGCAGATCTCTGTTTTTTTTCTCTGTGCAGCTCTCTCTTCTCTGGCACTTTTTCCTGTGAACTCTAGCTGCCGTCGATTCTCTCACGTAGTTCCTTCAGCCATTGCTTCAAGTCTCCTCACCACCTTGGTTGATCTTCACTGAATGAGTAGTGACGTGTCAATTGCTTCAAGTGATGTTAAGTTGAATGTATTATTTAGTTGATCATCTGGCTGGCATCCTAAAGATGCCATACTGAAGAACTTATGGAACGTATTTTAATTTTGAGAATTAGCAGGTGAAAATTATAGAAAATCTTTTCTTTAGTTTATCTAGTTTTCATAATTCAAAAAGATAGTATGGTAGAAAAGATTTTAGAAAGTAGAAGAATATATATTAGTGATACATTAACCTAGTAATTTAGTCCCATGGTGGATTTAAATGTTTTTTCTTTATTGTATATAAAATTTACTATTTTGTTATAGATGAAATGCAAGAAACTGAGTCTTAAATCTTTGGGGAAGAGCGTGTGTCTTTCTGATTTGATGCTTTTACTAACGACAATTATTAATACTTCTTTAAAAGCCATTTTTGGTAGCCCTCTTATTGTCTGCTAAAATTCATGCAAAAGCTGAGCCAATGAAATTTACCTATTACTGTATTAGTTTTCATTTTCTAATGGCATAAATTAATCAGAACTCTAACATAAAGAATATTCTAATTTAATAAGGCCATTGTTAGATTAGTTTGACGTATAGAAAGTATGGTAATTTAGGAAAAAAAGCTACCAAATTAAAAGAGTGGCATGTGTTGTAAGTAATGAAAAAGTCAACCTAGGTATGTAAGAAAAAAAGTTACAATAGCTGTAGCAGTACAGCCTGGCATGGCTATAAGACAAATCTGGGTTTCACCTTAATTTTTATGAAATAAGTGATGAGCAGTCCAGAGTTTTTAGCCATTTAAAATAATTTATTACCTACATAAAATTTAAATTTAAAGGACTAATTTTTTACCAGTGTTTCAATTAAATTACTGTTCAGCTGCTTATTTCTGTTATACTTAAAAATGAACTAGTGATTTGTTACCAGATAAATTCTTTCAGCATTACAGATAAACAAAATTTTACTAGTCCAGTCTCTTGAGATAGCAAAATAAACATCAGTATAATCGAGCACAAGCACAAGAATATAAATTTGAGTTTTCCTTTCTTTTAAATGATGTTAAGCTTTTAAAAGTTTAAAATGTCACTTAGCTTAAAATGTCAAAGATTATAGCAAAAACAAATCAGTATTCTAAGATACTAAAGGTATTTTAATAAAAAGGAATAGTTCATTTAGATTTTTTTCCAAAACATCAGTAATTTAATTTATATCTCTATATAATGCATACCTTTTATCTCTTTCTCATTTTTTGTAGGTTTTGCCGGAGACTTACATTTGGCCTCAATGTGAAATGAAAGTAGAAAATCACATCTACATGTGTATTGCTGTCAGGGTGTTGATTCATTGGTCATGCCTGAAGAGGGAAATTCTGTTCTAGATGGCTGACTGCCAGCAAAAATAAATACTTATCCTAGATGTCAAGCATCTCTCCTTTTTACTGGAGTGAAAATCCCCTCCAGATACCAACAGCACATCAACTGCAGAAAATGCTTCGCATTTTAAGGATGTCAGCAACCTAAATTCATGCGCCCTATCTGTACAGTTGTTGTGGATGGTTTACCATCTGAAAGCTCCTCAAGCTCTTATCCAGGCCCTGTATCTGCTTCTGAAATGTCTCTGCTTCATGCTTTGGGTCCAGTGCAGACCTGGCTGGGACAAGAGCTAGAGAAATGTGGCATTGATGCCATGATTTATACTCGATATGTCCTCAGTCTTCTGCTGCATGACAGCTATGACTACGACCTGCAGGAACAGGTATTTACATATTTTAAATGTTTTGTGAAAATTCATGGTTGTGTCTACTACATGTTTGCATTTCTCTTCAAGGAGAACTTCCATAGTCTACAACAGGGTGTAGACTGCCGTGGTCCACAGGCTTAACCTGTCAGTGAATGTCAGTGAGCCGTGTCACAAAGCACACTGTTTAGTTCACTTGTGTTTCTCTGTACTTGTTAGACTTTCTCAGTGTTGATTGCGTTCTGGCTCAGACTCTGGGTCTTGTCATGGACACCCTGTTGCCTTGGAGTAACACTGCTCTGGAGTGTTTGTTTCTGCTGTTTAGGAACATGATACATGATGACTATAGTAATCATTGTGTCTGTTATACTTCTTAACATTCCAAAGTTTAATATTTAATTTTATCCACAAGAATGATGTTAAACAGCTTATTAATCAAAGTGTGTGTTACAGATCAGCAGACCTAAAAGTTCACTGAAGCACATAACTTTGCCATAAGTCATTGTATATCACCTGGTAAGTTGGCCGTTACATGTTTTATTTGACTTAGGTGCTAAGTTGAAAGTGAGAAAGCAATCAATCTAGGTTCTCGAAAAAAAATCTCAACTTGAGTCTCACTTTCCAAGAGGAGCTGCTGAAAGTGAGTCCTGCCAGAAGGGAAGCAAAGTCATCACCAGTGAACAAATGGGCTCTGGGCAACTTCCGTGTACAAATTTTACATAAAATGGAGTGTTTTGTGAGCAGTTTTTGTTGTTGCTGTTTTAAACTATTGTTACTAAAACTGAAAGCAGGAACAAAGTTTCACTGATAGAAGAAACTGGCCTTGCCCTTCCAAATCACAGAAAAGCCTCCAAGTCCTATAAATACAGAGGATTTCACCAGTGTGCTTAACATCTGTCACACGTCAGTTGTATAGAGTGTATTTTCTCACTACTGGTGATTCTCATCCTTTCTACCTGGACACAACTGCATTTTCCCTGCTTTCAGGTTGCTTACTGCCTTGGCTAGTGAGAATTAGGTCAAGTGAAATTTTCAGAGGACTGACTTAAAACCTAATAATCAGAAAATGTGTTATTTTTGTGGTCAGTATTTTGTAAAATGTTTCTTGTGTCTTTATATTTTAATGTTCTCAGTGTCATGAAGTCTTTGTTTATCAGGAGTCTGTGATTATGGCAGAAAACCAGCTTGGTCTGGCTTAAACAGAAGTCATAGTAAAAACAAGCACCTATGTATTTCATGTACTGTGTGCCAGCCATGCATCTGAGTGCTCATTTTCCATGCACAGTAACTTGTTTAACCTTCACAGCAACCCTGTTCTGTTGTCCCTATTTCATAGGTGGAGGTACTTAGAGACAGTGGCTATGTAACTTGCCCAAGGTCACACAGCTGGTAAATTTGGGAGCATTTATTGATTCAAAAACTTGAAATGTCCAGGGGATAGGACTGGCCTCAGTGGCAGCCTGATCCAAGGCTTTCAATAGAATCAGTGACCCGTCTTGAAGCTTGCCTTCTCTGTTGTCTTTGCCTTTATTCTCAAGCTTCACCCCTCTGCAAGCCTACTGCAGGCCCAGACTCCCACCTCATGTGTGTGTGCCGAGCAGGAAGAGCAGGCAACTCGTCCCCGTAGGGCAGCTTGGTCATGGCCCTGTCCCTTACCTATTAGGAAGAGGGCGCTTTGGTGCCTGGGCTACAAGCACCTGAAACTGCAGGGACTAAGAATTAGAGAGGATGGCCCCCCGAAGGAAATCTGGAATGACTAGGCACAGTGCTGAACCATCAAAAAGCAGTCCTCTCTAAATATCTGTGTACCAAGGAGCACTTTCTTTTTATTAATGGTTCTACTTCTTAAATTTTAGGAAATATTCCCTGACTGTGCTGTGTTCTGAGATTTGGGCTTCAAACAGATAAACCGTTTGCTAGTGTGATCCCCTCTCCGTGATTTTGTTCTCTTGCATCTTCTAGGAGTTTCATCTCTGCAGACCTCTTCCATAATGGTCCTTTCATGATAGTCCCTCAATCTGTGTGATTGCTTTAGGTGTTTTTATGATGTTAAATATTTTTTTTAGGTCCCAGGACTTCCAGAACTTTGTTAACTGTTTCAGATGTGGAGCAACCATGGATTCTGTACAAAAATAAAAGAGGGGTTTTTTTCCTTAAACTTTTTCTTGTGCTATAAAATGCATACAGACAGGGGTACAAACTGGTGAATTTTTGCAAAGATCATATCTGTGTAATTACACCCAGATAAATAAATAGACCGTTCCTGTCAACACAGAAGCCCCCTTGTGCCTAGCACAGCTTCCGAATTCCTCACGTGTCAGAGGGGAATCCAGCAGAGTGTACCTCTGTTTGCCACCCCTTCCTTTTTCTGGGATCCTGACACCTGGATCTCTAGTTTTTTCTCTCCAGCCCTGAGAGACTGCCCCCAGCTCCACTGGTTTCTTTGCCTCTTAAGTGGCCACATTTGTCTCAGCCTCTTGCCCTGGGCCTAGAATTGGGGGTACATTTCCTGAGGGAGAAAGCAGCCTCAGATGTCAGCGCCCCTGTGCCGGCAGCTTCCCCTCCCTGGGATGGCTGTCCCTCCTTGTCTTCTCAAGGCTTGGGTGCTTCAACAGGTCGCTAATTCCTTAGCACAGGTGTTGAAGGTTTTGTTTTGTTTTATATTTTATCTGGCTTTTCTGGTTAGTCTGGGCAGGAGAATTGGTCTGCTGCCAGTTAAACTTTTTCTTTTTTTTTTTTGAAGACTATTTTTTAGAGCAGTTTTAGGTTCACAGTAAAATTGAGAGGAAGGTACAGAGATTTCCCATATACCCCCTGTGCCCACATGTGCATAGCCTTCCCCATTATCAACATTCCCTGCCAGAATGATACCTTTGTTACAATTGACGGACCTACAGTGACACATAATCACCCTAAGTCCATAGTGTACATTAGGATTCACTCTTGGTATTGTCCACATTCTGTGTACAATATTCTATGACAAATGTATAATCATGTGTGCATCGTTATTATAGTATGAAACAGAGTATTTTCACTGTCCTAAAAGTTCCCTGTGCTCCACCTATTCATCCCTCCCTTCCCCCAACCCCTGGCAACCGCTGGTCTTTTTACTGCCTAGTTTTGCCTTTTCCAGAATGTCATATAGTTGGGATCATATGGTATGTAGCCTTTTCAGATTGGCTTCTGTTACGGAGTAATATACGTTTAAGGTTCCTTCATGTCTTTTCATGGCTTGAGAGCTTACTTTTTAGCACTGAATAATATTCCACTGTCTGGATGTACCACCATTTATTTATCCATTCACCTATCTCAGTTACTTCCAAATTTTGGCCGTTATGAATGAAATAAATTTATGCTATAAATATCCATGTACAAGTGTTTGTGTGGACATGAGTTTTCAGCTCCTTTGAGTAAATACCAAGGAGTCCGACTGCTGGATCGTATGGCAAGAAAATGTTTAGTTCTGTAAGAAAATGCGAAACTTTCTTCCAAAGTGTCTGCACCATTTTGCGTTCCCATCAGCAGTGAATGAGAGTTCCTGTTGCTGCACATCTTTGTCAGCATGTGGTGTCAGTGTCTGGATTTTGGCCATTCTCATAGGTGTGTGGTGGTATCTCGTGTTAATTTGCATTTCCCTGTTGACATAGGATGTGGAGCATCTTTTCATTTGCTTATTTGCCATCCATATATCTTCTTTGGTGAAGTGTCTGTCGAGGTCTTTGGCCCATTTTTTAATTGAGTTGCTTTCTTATTACTGAGTTTGAGTTCTTTATCTATTTTGGATAACAGTCTTCTATCAGGTGTGTCTTCTGCAGATAATTTGCTCACAGTCTGTGGCTTGTCTTCTACTCGTCTTGACCTTGTTTTTCACAGAGCAGTTTTGACTTTAATGAAGTCCAGCTTATCTAATTTTTCTTTCATGGATTGTCTACCAGTTGCATTTTAAAAGAGACTATTTATTTGTTTATTTGTTTAGTTTGGTATTAATTTTGCTTGTCTTATCCTCACTTTGACCACCGTATTTAAAATAGAAGTCTTCCATTCTCAGTCCTCTTACCTACTTTATTTTTCTTTATGACACTTGTTCCTACCTGAAATTGTATGATTCTTTGTGATCCAATTATTTTTTATTTATTTGTATGTCTCCCCTGCTGGTATATACAATTCGTGAAGTTAGCAACCTTGTGTGCCATGTTTTCTGCTGTATTCCCAGCCCTTAAAACAGTTCCTGGGATGTAGAAGATGCTCAGAAATTTATTAAACAGATGAATACGTGTATGCTTCTTTCTCAGGTGTGTGACTTGTATGGGGGGAAGCATGAGGAGGGTGGGTACAGATGCCATAGCTACACACTGGGGCCTGCCCTTCAGGGAAGTTACTGCAGTTTCTCCCCCCAACCCTCGTGGTTTTTTTTGTTTGTTTGTTTTGTAAGGAAGATCCGCCCTGAGCTAACATCTGCCAATCCTCCTTTTTTTGCTGAGGAAGACTGACCCCGGGCTAACATCTGTGCCCATCTTCCTCTACTTTATATGGGACGCCGCCACAGCATGGCTTGCCAAGCGGTACATTGGTGCACGCCACCTGGGATCTGAACCGGCGAACCCCGGGCAGCCACAGCGGAGCTTGCACACTTAACCACTTGAGCCACCGGGCTGGCCCCCCAACCCTCATGTTTTTTATTGTGGTAAGATACACATAACATAAAATTTACCATCTTAACCTTTTTTTTTTTTTGTGAGGAAGATCAGCCCTGAGCTAACATCCATGCCAATCCTCCTCTTTTTGCTGAGGAAGACTGTCTCTGGGCTAATATCTGTGCCTATCTTCCTCCACTTTATATGGGACGCCACCACAGCATGGCCTGACAGTGGTGTGTCGGTGCGTGCCTAGGATCGAATCCGGGCTGCCAGCAGCAGAGTGTGCGCATTTAACCGCTACACAACCGGGCCGGCCCCCATCTTAACTGTTTTTAAGTGTACAGTTTAGTGGTATTAAATACATCCATATTCTTGTGCAGC